CTTCACAAGCTCTCACGTACATGAACAAACAAATAAACCATTTTGCTAGGATTATCAACAGCTTTATTGCCCACTTTGAGATTTTGTTTACCCTATCGTAGTCTAGTGGGGCAAAATGCCTCGTTGGGACGGTATATCCTTAACCCCTTGGACGCGGAGGGGTGACAGGGATAGGCTAAACAAAATCCTTATACCCTCCCGGAGGGTATAAGGATTTTACTTGATTAAAGTAAGACATATTTTAGCGAAGAAGTTAAACGCACCTTTTTTGACGAGATTGTTGCTAAGCTCCTCGGTGATTATTCTGGTATAGGGGCTTGATATGATCTGCGGAAAAAAATCCCCCAATCAGCTGTTTGCTAGTCTATTTATGCAACTCCGACATTTAGAGACCAGCAGGAGAGGCCACTCATTGACCACCGCATCAACACAGCACAAAGATAGCGATGGCTGGCAGGACGGACACGACAGAGCGCCCCAAGAGAGACTAACAGGGGCATTGGCAACTACGTAGAAGGTGTTCTTAGCAAGATGAGTGACTTATTTGTGCTACCATGTGTTGTAATGCAGCTATATGTATTTCCCTACGGCTTAGCTAGGCTACGATCGCGAATATGACTTGCTTTTGGAGCGAACAGGCCATTCTGCCACAGGATGTGCCATATCTGGGCACAGGTCATGCCCTCGTTTGCTTGGTGTCCCCGCACCTTGTTGCAGAGTGTCACCTGCCCCTTCTTGCCTTCGGAGCACTTCGCGCAATAGAATGTAGACGTTCCACCCCTCTTCTTGCCTGTCGGTTTGTAGTAGGAGCAGACCTTGTATTGCCTTTGGCGCAAACGATGGACACCGTTGTTTAGACGGGTGTCGGTAGTTTGGACGAGGGAATGGTTACCTTGGATGGCCCTAGCAAGGCCGCGCACATCGACGATCAGCTGGAATCGTGCAACGCAGCCCCCTTTTGTGCCTTTGATAAGGACGATCCTGCAATCCTTGGTATTGTATATCCTGTCAAATGCAGTAGCCGATGACTATTTCTGCCATACTTTCACACCCAAAATCATTCTACACTGCCTTTGACCAAACTAGATCGTCTTCGACTTAAGAACGCGCTAAAGGCGCGCTCTTATTTTCCCGCTCCCAGCCCCCGGGAGATTTTTCTGCATGACTGGTCTCCCAAAATCATCGACAGCTTTAAGTGGGAGCGAGAGAACTTGGAGACGCGCTTCAAGGGCGAATGGTTTCGTGTATTATGGATTTTTAAAGTTTCGATAGGTAATGTGGACAACCCAAACTTGTTTGGGATGATTCAATGCACCTCATACGTGGGATTTCTCCCAGATTAAAAAAAAATTTGGTCGTAGCTGGGAATACATGTACTGTACAGGTTTCTGTTCGTTTCAATTAAACTGCGTCTATCACTTGGAAATCATGTAGCATGTTCCGATTGTTTAGTAGTGATCCCTGCCCGCGGAGCTTGGTTAAAGACGTTCAAGGTTTAAGACAGCACTTGTGGGTCGGCGCAGACTACTTCTTAGACGCCTTAGAGTGTGTTTGTGTGGTGGTGAGCAGATCTCTTCTTTCTCTTCTTACTTGATTTGCCCTGATTCTGCTTACCACTTTGCTGTTGGCTCTCTTTTCGCTGGCGTCGGCACTCATACGCATAATGTCCGAGTTTGCCACAATTATGGCAGTCAATTTCCGAACGAGGACGTTTTGGCTGACCTCTGCCTCCTCCACGACCCCATTTCCGTTTATTGACGAACGACACGTTCTTTTCCTCGGACAGCGATCCTCCAAGCTGTGCTCCACCATTCCCATCCTGAAAATTTGCTTTCTTTCGTGCCTTAGTCTCTTTCACCGCTTTAGCCTGATTCAGACGCTCTTCACGACCGGTGAGCTTGATTTTCACTTGCTGTAGAGAGATGTCATCTAAATTGTCGTAGGTTTCAACCATACTCTCATAAGTATCACCAAGACCAGTCAATAAAGCAGTTATAACTTCTCTATCCGAAACTTCCTCATGCATCAGCGTTAATTCCTGTCGAATGGCCTCAACTCTGTGAATATAATCACGGATCGATTCATTTTCCGGATCAAATTCGACATTTAGAAGCTCTCGACGCTTGAACATTCCTACTGCTTAGGACTTCTTCTCGAAATCATCAACCAGTGCAGCCCACTTGACCTGAGGACGCTTCAAATGTGCTAATCGGACTCGAGTTTCATCATCCAACGTATTCGTGAGGATATCATTCAGCACCAGCACCTTGTTCCGATATTCTTTGCGGTCTGCTTCGTAGCTCTAAACTCCCCTTCTCTCAGTTAAACGGTATAACATTCAAGATAACCAAGCTGTTGAGAGCACAAAAAAACCGGGCAAATACCCCCGCCCTCCAAAGAAGCTCTTTGACCTAAAGCACGGAAGACCAGATAGTGTGATCTATCGCAAC